GAAAGATGAGTTCTGTAGAAAAGAAAATGGATAAGCTGAAACTGTCCTAATTTGTCCCCGTAAGCTGTTTTTTCTTTGACAGGCACCATGAAGTCAGTTTTTTTGAACGTACTTTGTTTTTTTTTTTTTGCAACTAAGTAACGTATATTACTGAAATCGCGTTAAGCGGATAAAAAGGGTTTTCAAGTGAAATTTTCTGCTACCAATTAATTCAGCTGACTTTTGAAGTAATCTTTACTTTTTTGTAGTTATGTAATGGTGTTTCTTTTTTTTTTCTAACTTTTATCTCATGATACTGGCTGAGAAGGAGGAGTCTTGGGTTGTATTGCAATAATGATTTAAAACTTAGTGATTCAAACAAGGGGGGTTGTTTGGTTGCTGTTATTTGTTTTACCCTTTCCCGTTATTCGTAATGTGCTGAGGAATTCTTTACTGATAACTTTTGCTATTGGTATAGCTGATATTTGTTAGGGATTTAGAACTGCGTTTACTTGTAGTTTTGCAGTAAAGCGCTACTTTTATTAGCACATTTTTCACTACTGTTTTTTTTTTTTTTATTTTTGTTATTTCTGTATATGCTCTTCGTTGGTGAAACGTTTTAGTAGACAGTGACACAGGTAAAAAAAATTTCAGTTTTTTAAGCTTTATTAAGGTGCTTTACCTATAATTTCTTTTATTAATCTCGTTTTTCTCGTTTTTTAATCCCTGTTAGCATACCTGTTAGCATATTATTCGTTCTTTTTTTCTCTAAAAAAAACTTTGACCGCAGGTTGTGAGAAGAAACTTCTTCTGCTTAAATTGTTCCCAGAACTTTCTCAGTCAGGAAGAAGCTCGTGGATTGAGGACTCAACTGCGAAACAGTTATTTTGATTGTCTCTGCCAACTGCTTGAAGGTAGTTTTTTCAAAGAATTTGGTATTTTGAAGTTTTTTGTTTTTGTTTGTCGCTATATTTGTTCTTTAGTCTTTTGTACGTACTCTGCTTTGACGTATTTTTCCTAACGATTAATCCTATTGTTTCGGCTAGATTTTTTAAAAGTTTTTTTCTTGGTGTATATAGTTTTAAGGTGTTGCAGTATAATTATTATATTCGTTATAAACTGCTTTTTCTTAGTGATGCATTTCAAAGACAAACTGTTGCCTCTACTTTTGATTGCACTTCTTCATCTTCCTTTGCCAAGTTTATTTTCCATTTCTAAAGATTTTATATTTTTTTCAACTTTTGTTGCGTAGTGTTCTGTGCAGAAAGACTTTCTGAGGTCCAAAGTATTAATAAAACAAAGCTTATTGTTTTCTGTTAAAACAATGTCTTAGATAGTTGGTAATATGCTTTCAAAGGGTTGGAGGCATTTTCTATTAATCGTTATTTATGACTTCTTCCTACAGTATTTGTGATGAGATGGGAAAGTTACTACTGACAGCTTACCGTAATCATATAATTAGGTTGAGTGAAAATTTAGTTTTCTTGATAATTTACCTTTTCTGATAAAAAATTTTTACTTAGTTTACTTATGAAATCACATAATAATGATTATAATAATAATAATAATGATCATTACTACTATTTCTTTATTACTTTTATATTCTCATAACTTGTGAGTCGATGGTTTACTCATACCTCTTTCTTTCTTCTACTGTTTTGCTCTCCCTTGTTCTTTTTTTTTTCTTTTAAATCAGCACCAGTATCGTGTTGTTCTTCCTTGTTGCTTTCAACAAAATCACTATTTGCTCAAGCTTTTCTGAACGGCAGTGAAGCCAATCTGATAAATTTGTGGTTGAAGGCGTTTTACTAGGACAACAGACTTTCACTGATTTCTTTTAATCCTCTTCTGCTATTCCATGTTTTCCTATTCTTTGAAGTTATTATGACACTTTATTTCCTTTTTTCTTTTCAGCTTCACAGTGTTATTTTTCTATTCTTCTCACAGGATTTTAAGCGTTAAATGTTTGCTTCACAGATTAATCGGTATGTATTCAACAGGCATTTTTTGGAACTATGTTACACGATTAAAGAGGGTTTTGAGATAAAATATCTATTACCAATCAGTTCAGTAGTCCTTTAAGTTTAATTCTTATTTCTGTTTGCCATTGTTTTATATCATGTCTTTTCTAGATTTTGTTTCGCACTACCTTGTTGAGAAATTTTTGAGAAGCAGAATAACTATGAAACTAAACTCAACGCTTTCTCATACACTAGTGTTTTAGAAATTTAATGGTTTATTTTATTATTTAAGGGTTTATTGATTACTCATCGTAGGCGCCCTCTTCTAAGGATGTGTGTGACGAAGCGACAAAGTTTTTATTTACGGTAGTCGTACGCTAAAGTTGGTTAACAATTTGAACTTCTGCTCGGTGTGATTTTGGGGCCATATATTGTTATTATAATTCTTTAATTGTTTCTAATTTGGTGAGTTTTTTAGAGGAGATGATTTGTTGGTCTTGATACCGTTTTCTGTCAGTTTCGGCTTCTTTAATTACTTTTTCTTTTCTGATCGGCCTCATTATGTTGCTTTTTTTGGTAGAAATTTCTGGTACTTTTTCTTCATAAATAGATAAGTATATAGGAGGCAAATGTTTATGGCAACTATATTTAACAAAGGAAAAGAGTTTTGGATTGAAGTTGTCTGTTACCAGGCAGTGTCCTTATTGTAGTACACTACACTAACTGGCACGTTTGCAGAGTAAATAGTCTTCAAATTACTGCTTGCTTAACACCGTCGGCTTTTTTAAAAGTTGTTCGTCCTTTGTTTCTCAATCTGACAGTAAATGTGAACGGAAAAATGAAATCTGTAGTAAAAAAACTCTTTGCACAAAAAAGCAAAAAATCAAGTAAATGAAAGAAAGAAAAAAGCGGAAAGCGTTTGGCAATTGCTGACTTGAACACTAGTCAAAGATATCTTATTTTATTACAATCAGTTTTTGATTTTTTACAATCATGTACAAAACTTATTATGATCAACATTTAAATTACCTGGTTAAAATATTTGCCAGCTTGTTTAAAAAGCAAAAAAATCTGTCAATGGTATCAATTTTTTGATTAAATCGTTCGTTGGAATGTTTTCATTTATCAGAATTATTGACTTCAGCTGAAAGTAAATGTTTTATTAACAAATGCACAAATGAAACAAATTACTTTGTTTAATGCTTTGAAAGGTGATGACTCTTATTTGCAGCTGTTTAAAATAAGTTCAAATTTGCGGTACAGGTAATTATTTGCTCTAAAAGGGATTTTCTACAAGCAAGCAACGGTTTTCTAAATAGACCGTAACTTCTGTCTAGCGACCAAAAACACGTTTTTAATAAATCACTTTCTGTCTTACTCAGCGGTAAAGGGCAGCTCTGTTTTGAGTGTCTTTTTAAAACAGCATCTTCTTTGCTTAGGTCCCTTTTTTATTCCAACAAGAGTAAGAAATAAAGGGAATTCTCTGATCAGCGAAAAGAGCGTAAAGAAAAAAAGGAAATTGAGAATTGTGACATAGGCTGTACAATTTCCACTCAATATATACTATGCTTAAAAATTTTTTAAAAAGACGTGAACGACACAGTTTTGTGTATACAACAAACTATTCACGAATAGTGTTATCACAACTGTCATTTACGGTTTCGGATTTCTTTAGATGTTTTTCACACGGAAGAGCGGCATTCAAGAAGTGATGGAAAAAACAACATTTTTACGGGTTCTGTTAGGGATATATCTGTCAAAATAGATTTGTAGTTACAAATTTCCGTTGACTGTTTTGCTTAAAATCAACGCAATACAGAAATTAATAAGATAAGTTGCAGCATTCTCCGCTCACTGCGATATCTGTCCAAATGAGCATAGAAAAGACATTGAAATAAATTTCTCACACTTGGCGGATGTGCACAGAGAACACCGCGAGAACTGCAAAATAAGTTTGCTTTATCGCTTTTTAAAAAAATGCTAAAATTCTCTTAGGCATATGCGTTAAAGAATGCCAAAAAATCCAGATTAAAAGTACAGAATATCAGGTGCGCCCAGTACTTGAAAAGTGCCAATAAGTAAGTTGTTGACACAAGAACAGGGAAATCATCTTCCAAACTAGTGAGCCAAAAAGGTATTAAAAAGTTTAGGAATAGTAATAGCAAGCAAACTAAACAATACAGATATTGCAAGAAAAAAAAAGTGACGGTAACCCAAATGAATTAATTACCATTAAACTTTCTGAAGTATCGGCTCTTTCCGCCCGTGAAAATGAAGATTTGGGCACTTCAGTGCGTTCAGGCAATACCCAGTTGTAAACCTGTTTTCTGCAGATAATATCAACTTAGAAACTGATGCCAGTAGCCTTGCTTATCATTAAAGATACTGGCAGAATTAAGTGCACAAAATTTTTAAACAATTACGTTAAGTGAAGATTTCTTTTCCCTCTAACGCCCCGAAATCTCCTTGTATGCGTGTGACATTACAACAGCAATAGATGCCTTGTCATGGACACTATGTAGTTCTTAACCATGCTCGAAAAGGAACTATTAACAATGGGTGTTGAAATTCAATTTTGGATTATTAACAGAGCAAATTTTTATCCGTTAATTTGACTTTCAACTGTCAGATGAAGAGAATTGATGTTATATCTACAAACTGATTGTTCTGATGTCAAACGCTTAAACTATGATTTAAAGAAGTTATTAAGGGTTGCAAAATGACCCTCTTTATCACACTACCTGCTGTGATGTTATTGTAATCTATAGTCTTTGTGCTTAAAAACAAAGTCACAGAAAAACAGGGAAAATGCGAAAAAAACACTACTATTTTTAGCGAGCGAACTAGTTATGCAGACTTGGAAGATCAAAGATGTGACATGGTAACACTAAAATACTGTTGGTCGTTGGGAGGTTTGTTATCATATTCGCCACTACATTTTCATTCAATTAGGCTGCGCCTTAATTAGGACTCACACAGCTACGATTAAATTTCTCTTTATAAGTTGAATTTTTTTCCTTTCAAATCACACCCAGTCCAACAGACGTCAATTTTTAATGATCCGACGAACGATGGGTCAACGCCAGCTATAATATGAGAGAACTTCTTCAAATATAAAGTTTCAACACCTGTACGACCACTCGTTTTTTGACTGCGTGAGTTTCCCAACATGCGGCCAGTACCACATCACATCCGCTACTTTTTGTCCTTGAACTATGGCGTGAGTCTAACTACTACCATGTTTATTTGGCCGCATGAACCGCACAGGTTAAGCTTGATTAATGGGCAACTGCTATCAATTCCATCTTTTTGTTAGTTTATGGCAACCTTTGGTCAACGCCAAAAACAAATTACAGGGTGTATTTAAAGGATGATGGCGTCTTGAAGTTCATTGACCTTCCTCCCTCACTAAAAACTTTTGAAGCTGTTCAATTTCCGCAACAGCAAGTAATGAACTTTTTTTTTAAATTTTTTTGCGAGATTTGCTTATTGCATTTGCGGCTCAGCAGTTAACTCTGGTTGTAGTTTTTTCTGTAGATTTGTTGAATTTTAGGAGAAAGGAGAGGAAAGCACAAATGGTTTGCTCACTACGCTCAAGGGAATACCCTATGAAACTTCTTCATCAGTGCAGCGCGAGCCTTCAGAGTGGCAGTCGATAAGCGATACTGAGCGCGAAATAATTTATAAGGGTAAAACGCCTTTTTTCAAACCTGCTTTTAGTTAATTCCAGAAGTAACAGTAAAATTTTTAATTCTAGAGTTCCGTAAAGCTAATGCTTACAAGACAGCACTATGTCAAGCTTTCAAAGCGAGTGGTTTTTGCAGTTATGGGTCTGCCTGTCGTTTTGCACATGGCGAACGAGAGCTCAGGCTTCCCCCTCAAGTAATGAATAGTTTTTCTCACTTTAAATGGCTTTCGATGTGAAATTTATCTGTCAATATTTGCAACTGTGTTAAAGGGTCGTTTATCTTTACGCTTTCAATCCAACAGAAGGTTTTAAAGCTTTCTGGAATAATTTGAAAATCGTAATCTTAGACTCATCCTAAATACAAAACCCAACTCTGCAACAAATTTGCCTTGTTTGGGCGGTGTCCGTATGGACCTCGATGTCAGTTCATTCATCAACGACCAAATAATCTATGCTTTCGCCAGGTAAACTTACAAAATTAAAGTGAACTAGCGCTACAGAGAAATTTTTTGACCTCCTAGCTATTTGTAAGGATGTTATACGACGTTCTCTTGTTCAAGTTTTAGTGACTTTGTGAGAACGTGAGAGTTGCTTCAGATTTTTAAATCGAGGTCTACTTTAGAACCTCGAAGATGTTAACCATCCTCAGAGTCTCGTTGGAACAGGACACTCAGGACCGGTCAACAGCGATGGGGGATCTTCATCAAGAAAGTCAGTAACGCTGCAGTTTGTCGAATACGAGCCGTTTGGGCTTTCATTAATGACCCCACTTTTTCCTGATTTGCAAGAAATTGTCCCACTGAGAGCATCCAAAGTACAAAATACTTTTTCAGCGAATTAAGTGATGCATTTGCTTCTTTGTCGTTAGGACTATATAAGGCTCTTCCTGAGATAGTTGACTTTACATCTTCTTGTTCTGCCTTTCCCCTAACAAGTCCGTCAGTTTACTTCAATAATGAACCAGTTGAGAATAGGGTAAGTATAAAGTCCAACTTTATGATACTTTTTGATTAAAAATTTAAGAGCTGTTCTCATTGCTGATTTTTGCGTGACTATTCAGGCGGAGGATCCGAAGTCTAATAGAGATAATAGAATGGGTGGGAAAGAAGAAGAAATTCCAAGCGACATTGGCTTTGATGTCGGTGAACCCCCATTTCCTCACCACATCGACGCTTGGTGTGTTTTTTTATATATTTTTTTAAAAATTTACTAGAGCAAAACCTGTTATTGTTGAAACATTAGAGTGTTTACCGTCTGACGTTCATGGAAACGCGTTTAGGGATTTTGATGTAGAGGCTGGATTTGTGCAGTCCTGTTTCCCTCGACTTGGAGGACGCAGGTTGACTAGTGGCTAAACCGTAGGAAAATCCTTCTGGCAATCTACAGCGACTTATATATATATAAATATATATTAAATTGGGTGTTCTGAAGTTTTGTGTTTTTTATTTTTTGGTGCTTTGTCTTTTGTATGTAAAGTGGTTTGGAAGTTTTCGCTACTGAAATAAGTTGCTGTATGGTTAGAGTTTTTTAAGAGTTTCATTCAGTATGCGAGTGTGGTTTTAAGGTCTTGTATCATTATTGTTGTATTGACTGCGCTGTGCATTTTTGTATTGAGGCGTTTCCGGAGGATGAGGTGTTTTTCCGATTTCTTAGTCTCTTCTCATTTCCTCACAGGTTCGTTCTTTATATAGTTTTCTGCGTAGAGGACTTGATCGCGGAATAAAAAACAGAACTGCATGGTTTCTGTAAAAGCTGTACCTTAAACAGTTAATAAATTATTTAAAAATTTTATAGACTTTATCTATTAATCTCTGTTTGTGCCTTCTCATGATGTTTGTAATGTAGTACGGGATTTATTGGTGATTTACGGCACTTGTTTGCTTTAGATTTTTAAGGATTTAGGTTTATGTTTGATGTTACTCTGAGATCATGTATTATTGTTATCATTTCCTCATTGTTTTTGTTCTGTTAGTTTCGGGAGACGATGATTAGTTGGTACTTGCCACCGTTTTCCGTTGGTTTCGCCTTCCTGAATTATTTCCTAAA